ACAAAAAGATTCTTTTCCATACATACGGTGAGGAGGCTTTCACCATTTTCGTTTATACCTTCATCAGCAAACGTTCCCAATATCCTTTCATAACCAAGCCTCCTCACCCCAACCCTTCCATTAAAATCTCCTAGCATAATAATATTTTCATTTCCCTTATATTTCACTACCACCATCCTTACCATTTCCCAAAACTGCTCTCGGATATAAGTGGGCTTACACATGTCTGGGGCGTAGACCCCTAGCACAAACAACTACTTTAAGCTCACTTTTATTCGTATCCGTAGCAGTCTTGGGCTTACATTCATACTCTTTCACACATTGGCCCATTCTTTCTGAAAGGATGATACCTACCCCCTGGCATACCCGCTCGATCTCGTCTACACCAGACCAGTATGCGGTATACATGCCATGTGTAGTGACATCCTTCCCCCTTCCGTTTCGTCTCATTTACACATAACACTTCTATTCCTCTATCATACATCATATCGTATACTTCATGTTCATTCATTGCCCCACATACATTCAACTTAGCCAGACGGGCCTCTGCAAGCCACTTTTCGCCCCTCTTAGAGACAGAAAGTGACGGGTGGCGAACCTCGTTACCGGCTTTCCTCCCGGAGATTCTTCGCACCCTTGACCCATTAAAGGGGCGCTGGGAACTCGGGGCTATCTCTTTTATTCGGTTCCTCATGGTGTGAAATATAGAGTAGCATATTTTACGCCGCTACCAGCGGCTAGGAGTCGAGTCTGTGTTATCGGCTTGTCGCTCATTTAGTACCACCCGGGGGACACGTGTAGGGTGGGCCTAGGATAAGGTGGTCAAAGCCTACGGACGCGAGTGACTTATCCCTCGCTCTATCTTATTATATAATTCTGAACCAACCTTCATAAATAAACGCTGTCGCACAATAATCGCATTGACGTGGTCGATATGAGCCACAGATATCGCTTCCCACGTATATGTAATAAGCTTATGTCTTCGCTCGCTGTTGTTGGGGGAACTAATACCATAGCAGATCAATCGCTCCTAGATGAACAGGTACCAGCTCTTACTAAAGCCATGATCGATAGGTGCCATGAATCATGTCCAGAAATCACTTCACCAAAACATGCTGAGTAAAAGCAACCGTGGTGGGGTAAAGAACTAGATAGGAAACGTAAGAAGGTAAGAAAAGCCCTAAATAGGGCAATAAATATCTCAATGGATGAAGACTAGCTACTATATAAGAAAGCTAATTATGGATACAAAAAATGTATCAGGGTGGCGAAAATTCTGTGGTAGCACAGAAACCTGTGAACAAGTGAATCGGATAAGGAAAATCCTAGCTAAACGGAACACGCCGGGATCTATCTCTTTAAAGAAACCCGACGGAACATCGCCGGATGACACCTAGCGCATCCTAATTGATATTCACTTCCCAGGTTACTGTGTAGTTGAAAGGATGAATCGGCATAAAGATGCACTGACACGAACAAAAGAAGACTGCTATTAAGCACAAAGAGTGGTGACGATGGACCAAATCCATTGGGCCATTCATAGTTTCCTCTCATATAAAGCAGCAGGACCTAATGGCATATTCCCGGCACTTCTATAGTGGGGGGTAAAGCCCTAATAGTCAGACTTTTTGCCATAATCAGAGCATGTCTGGCTCTTAAATATGTTCCTAGGAGATAGAGGGAAGTGAAAGTCACTTCATACCCAAACCAGGTAAGAGCGACTATACAGATCCTAAATCCTACAGATCCATTATCCTCACATCCTTTCTTTTAAAGTCGACGGAGAGAATATGTGAACGGGAGTTAAGAGCATCGGCGCTAATTAACTTACCGCTACACGAAAAACAAAACGCCTAATAGCTTAGGTAAATCGACAATATCGGCACTTCACCATGTAATAACAAAGATTGAAGAGGCCATCCAAAACAAAGTAATATGTCTAGGCTCCTTCATAGATACAGAAGGTACTTTTGACAGAAAAAACTTCTCCAGCATAAAAGGTGCACTAAGTAGACATAATGTCGAACCGGCACTGATTGACTGGATAGTAAACATGCTCAGTACACGAGCAATAAAGATTGCTGGTTAATCTCAGACAATTCAGGTCATGAAAGGATGCCGGCAGGGAGGGGGGGGGGGGTTCTTTCACCTCTCCTGTGGAATATGGTCGGTCATTAATGAACTCATCAGCAAATTAAATGCTTATTATTTCTACACAGTCGGTTATGCAGACGATCTGTCAATACTGGTCTCTGAAAAGACATCAAGCATTGTGTGCGACCTAACCCAAGCGGTTCTCCGTATTGTAGAGAGATGGTGCAGGGAATATGGCCTAACCGTTAATCCAAACAAAACGGTTCTAGTAATGTTCCCACAAAATCGAATGCTGAATAACTATCATCTCTCAAGTCTTTTCAGCACAAAACTCCAGCTATCCTCCAAGGTAAAATACTTAGGTCTTACCTTGGACAGTAAATTTAACTGGAAAAAACACATAGAAAATAAAATCAACAAAGCTAGTTTAACTTTCTAACAATGCAGAAACATGATTGGCGAACGATGGAGTTTGACGCCAAAAATTATACGGCTCTCTGGTATGGTGGACCAAAACTAACGAAGCCACCACCGCTATACGAAAGCTTCAGCGTTACCAGAGATTGGCTTTTATGGCTGCTACGGGCTGCATAAAAACTACACCAACAGCAGCTTTAGAGAACACCGCTTCATCTACATATACAACAAGAAGCAACTTTAGCTGCCATTAGACTCAAGACCCTTAATCTTTTAAGTAAGAGTAGAGTCCCCAGATATAATTGATAGAATTTACTCAAAAATTCCTATCTTACAAGCAAAGTATGATATGATCCCAAAACAATTTGTATTTCATAAGAAGTACACGATACAATTGAAGAAAACTGACCAGCTGGAAGGATTGGGATCAAAAGAGCTCAGAGTTTTCACGGATGGTTCTAAGACAAATGATGGTGTGGGGTCTGGGACTTTCTCTGATGACCTTAATATCCACATATGCACATCGCTGGGTACCCATAACACAGTCTTCCAGGCTGAATGCATGGGTATCATCCAAGCGGCCATAGCAATAGATGCTAGGAAGGTGAAAGACTTCTCCATCAGAATACTGACCGACAGTATTGCGGTATTACTAGCTCTGAGTTGTAATGTGGCGAACTCGGTACTGATATATGAGTGCCATCAACGACTGATCAAGGGATCAAGGAACATAGTGGATCTAGAGGCAACAATGCAGCAGATGAACTGGCCAGAAGGGGATCGACTCCGGCCACTATAGAGCCGGAACCTATAATACCAATCCCCTTTATAACTTACACGGTCAGCTTTCGAAAAATTTTGTAGACTGTAGACAAGCTAGGGAGGCCCTGCCTGAAATAAACAGTCGTCAACAAAGTTCTAATGAGACTAAGCAAGCCACAGATCAGGATAGTTACAAGTGCTATCACAGGACATGGCTCTTTTAACAAACATTTGTTTACCATAAGTGTTACTGATAGCTTATATCGCTTTGAACTCAGATCATGTAAGATTTTAATGATCAAACAGATCAAAAATTTTAAACTTTTGCATTTAAATCTTAATCTAACATCGAGGTCGTTAACTTTTTCTTCGCAATTTTTTTCTTATTTGGACTAAAAAAAATTACGCTGTATTCCTTAAGGTAATTTTGTCTTATAATCGTAAATTACGGATCATTTATTCATGCATGGGAGAGGAAGAAACAGCGGCTCACGTGTAGCTTACATGTACAGAAGTCGCTTCATACAGGGCTAAACATCTTAACACGCCGGGATCGCTGCCCGAAGTTGCTTGCAACATCAAAGGACTGTTGAACTTCTTCGGGGAGATATCATGGCTCAAATAATCACATTATTCCTGCCCACACGTAAAATACGCGCTTAGACGTGGAGTTGCGGAAAACAGTCCGTCGTAAACTAAACTAAACTAAACTACGGTTAGGAGCCTTTTACCTTTCTTATTTATAGTTTTATCACCAAACCTTCCCAATATCCTTTTATAACCAAGCTTCTGCACCCCAACCCTTCCTTTAAAATCTTCTTACATAACAATATTTTCATTTCCCTTACATTTTATTAACGCTGTCCTTACCATCTCCCAAAACTGCTCTCAGATATATGTGAACTTAGACATGTCTGGGGCGTAGACCCCTAGAACATACAACTTCTTTGAGCCCATTTTTATTCGTATCCACAGCAGTCTCGGGATTACAAATTCATAATCTTTCACACATTTACCCGTTCTTTCTGAAAGGATGATACCTACTCCCTGGAAGGTCCGCTCGATCTTGTCTACACCAGACAATTACGAGTGGCGTGGCGTACCTCGTCTCGGGTTTTCTTCGCTGTGATTTTTCGCACTCCTGCCTCATTAAACGGGCACTCGGAACTCCGGGCTATTTCTTTTCTTTTTTACCTCATGGTGCAAAACTAGCTGATTTTATAATCAGTAACACAGGCTACTTTTATTTTAAAGTAAGAATTAGGATTTCTCGCAAAAAAATTAATACCCATAAAATCCAATCGTAATAAATAAGAGCGAAGATTCGGGAACAGCTTTTATGTAACTATTATGTCATAATTTGTATTAAATTTTAACTTAATTTTACATGCATTATAATGCCTATATAAATATATGTTTCGGTTTTAATTTTTATATCGATAGCTAATCGCTAATTTTTGCTTTGCTTTGTGTATCATTAATCGCCTTTTGCAAATCGATTCAACATTGGCCATCTCTAGACACGCCAACTTGTACGCTGTCATTAGCTGTCTGCTGTCAGCTATCACCCGCCCTTGCTAAAACGCAAGAAAAACATATTAGATATTAGTTTGTAGGCTGTATTTCTACTGAAAGTTTATAACAGAAAGTTGACATAAAAATAAATAATAATTTTAAATCAAGCGCGAAAAGGTATTTTGTATCGAAGAAGACTCATTTTGTAAAATATGGACAAAATCTCGAGCTTACAGGTTATTTCACCAAATGTGAAATATACCGAAGACTATATTTACGCCGATTACGAATATGAAGAAACTTTGGTGACGAAAAAGGATAATGCAATAACGGTAAGCAGTTTTTGAGTTTCATTGATTTCTTTTTGTGTAAATCTCCCATAAACATATATTATTTAGCCTCGAAAAAAGATCTTGTTTTTTCTCTTTTCGTTTTATTTGACAATATTTAAAACAATAAAAAAACTTAAATTAACGAACCTTATTAACCAAAACGAACACCTATCAATCAAATAATTTATTTTTGATCGGCTAGGCTAAAAACTATCACTGCTTTTTTTACTTTACTTATTGTGAGACAGGCTTATGCTTTTATCAATCAATCTGAACTAAATTGAGACGAATTGCTGCTATTTTTGTTTTGTTGTATCATTGTTTTATTGCAAGAATGCAATGTAATTAAAAAAAATGCAATTTAAATTTTTAAATTCCATAATAATTTTATTAATTATTTTGTCGCTAACGCTCATATTTGTAGTTTTCTATTAAATCTAATATTTTTAATATTCTGATGAAAAGAAAACATTTACTAGATTTCATTTTTTTATGTTGCTTAAGTGGGAGAACCATCTCATCCAGAGATCCATGCTACCTGTTAATACAGGTAGCTTGGATTATTACATTATCCTCTCAACTGCAGATGTCCAAGACTTGGACACGAAAATATCTCCGTTGACTGTGGGCGTCCAAGTGTTGACATTTTTTACCCGCTATTTTAATGAAGAAACAAAGCATTATGAGCTATTTCTAACTCATTCTACCATATGTCAATGTGTACAGGATAAAAAAGGTTAGCATAAAAACCCCACAGCTTATATTCTTTAGCAGTATATTTTATTTAAATCATTCTTAAATGTCGTCCGTTCCTTGAGTCGGCCATCAGTGTGATTGACGCGCGCTAACAATGAAGTTGTAATTATTTTGTATTAATTTATATTTATTGTGTGGTGAATTGTGTTAAAACAATGCCTGGGTAAGTAACCTTCTTATTTGTAATCTCATTTTGTGTTTTATCTTATTAAGTATGTGTAAAATCGTTTTTTAATATGTATGAAGCAAACTGCTATCTTAGAACTAACATGCCGGTTGAGGAAAGTTGACTTGAAATGTACGTAAAATTTTAGTGTTGACTGTCAGTTTTGTGTTAAAATATGTGTAATTGTTCATCGTTCACAGTTTTAGTACATCAAAATGAGGATAAAGTGCAATATTTTCAAAATTTTAATGTAAATATGCAATAGGTGCAACAGTGTCCTTTGTTGAGACGTCCGCAGTAGTGAATTCTAGTTCTCTGTTTTGCGGGTGGTGAAAAAAGGAACTAACGTTTGCCATACTGCATCAAGTTCAAATTTGGTTGAATGTTTAGAATGGTAAAGAATCTAGCGCCCTCGAGCAGAGAAATGGAGCTTGGTTGACTCCACGATTATTTGATGATTTATGAAAAATTTTATGTGGCATTTGGATATGTCATGTATGTTAACACAAGACTTTGGAATTTTTTTAAACAATTTATTAAAACAGAAAATTAGAAAGTATTTACATATGCTTTTTAATATTTTTATTTTAATATTTAATATTTGAAATTTTTATTTTTTTAATTTAATAAAATAAGGTTGTGGTTTTTAAGATCACCTCAGACACATATTTCTTATATTGGTGTTTTTAATGTACATTTTATCTGTATGTACCAGTAATGACTTGATTAGTCGCTTACGGGAGAAAAATAGGGTTAGACTAAGATACAAAAAATACAGCAACCCCCTGGACAGGATATCGTATCGTCTACTGACCGACCGCTGCAAAAAATTAGCTTCTGAATGCTACAACGCATACATTCGAAAAATTGAGGACGGAATTTTAACGAACCCGAAACTGTTCTGGTCTTATATTAAAACTAAACGTGGTGGCTCTGGAACATATCCAGCTACGATGACGGACGGTAATACGGTGATACAAAACGGTAATGACTTATGCAACAGCTTTGCATCTTACTTCTTCTCCACTACCTCAAATCTTGGTGTCCGATGTGACATAAATACTGACGAGAATATTTTAGTTCATCAATGGGGGGAGCAATCGATTGTTTTTCAACTCTAAATCTTTCCCGCAACCAAATTTACAAAAAATTAGTCAATATTGATGTAACGAAAGGCACTGGGAGTGATAATATTTCACCGTTGTTTATTTCACGATGCGCGTCATGCCTGGTGGAACCTTTTTTTATTATCTTTAATAACTCATTAAGTTCTGGGGTTTTTCCCAAAGTTTGGAAGGTTTCTAAAGTGGTACCAGTTTATAAGGCAGGTGATGCTCAGATCATTAGCAACTACAGGCCTATTTCCATATTGTCCTCATTAGCTAAAGTATTCGAGTCTCTAGTCTGCCCTATTCTTCAAACCTACTTCGACAAGTATTTAAACTATAACCAGCACGGCTTCACAAAAGGTAGGTCTACTAATGCTAATCTAGTTACATATGTGGAGGACATTGCAAGTCACATTGATGGCAATAAACAAGTAGACGCAATATATACTGACTTCAGCAAAGCCTTTGATAGAGTAATCCATCGACGGCTTCTGACAAAACTATCTGCATACGGAATAGGGGGTTCTGTTCTAGCTTGGTTCGAATCGTATCTAAGTGAACGTTCTTTCTATGTAGTCGTTAATGGTTTTATCTCAGAGCTACGATATATCACTTCTGGTGTTCCGCAAGGTTCACACCTAGGCCCTATTCTCTTCAATATCTTTGTGAACGATATACCTAATTATATTAAATACTCGTCCCCTTCGATGTTCGCCGATGACCTAATACTGTGGAAATTAATTGAAACACTAGATGATGTTTTGCATTTACAAAAAGATCTTGACGCGCTAGTGAAATGGTGTCAGACGAATGGAATGGAGCTCAATATCAATAAATGTGTTCACATTAAATTCACTAGGAAATTGAATCCTATTCCATCCATCTACAGCATTAATGGGATTCGATTAGGAGAAAGGACAGTAGTAAGGGATCTGGGTGTGCTCATGGATAATAAAATGACATTTGTCCCACATATTGACTACATCATAGGGAGGGCGTCCAAGATGTTGGGTTTTATTATCAGGAACGTTAGAGTATTCAAACGCCATTCCTCAAAAATTGCGCTATACAATAGCTTGGTTAGATCGATCCTTGAGTATGGAAGTGTAGTCTGGCGTCCACATTATGCTACTCACACACTTCGTATATATAATAGGTGCGGAGGGTCAATAGATGTTAATTTTATGTCTCTAGCTGAGTTTAAGACCACAGTAAACGATACATTATTTAAGTAACTAGGTGTAAGTCATTGTTTCATATACTTTCATAATATTGTTTTGTCCTATTCTAAGTTTTTGTATTTTTTTTTTGTTTTTTACTTGGTAATTTTTTAGTATTTTGAAGCATGTGGTGTATACCTTTAATTGATTGTACAATTAGTATATAAGTGATGTGTGTTTACTATTTCTGCATTGTTGTAACAATCGTTGGTGTACTTAAATAAATAAATAAATAAAAAGTATGTACTTTGCAAATAGTGTAACTTGCATTATGTTTCAACATAGAGCAAGATTGCTGCTACCTACAGTACCATTCGTAAATGAATTGTACTGTAGATACAGTAAATCCAACAAGTACCAGGAGCCTTTTAAAGAAATTAGTACCCATGTTATATATTTATTCAATTTTATACTTATGTCCATCCATCCATTTAGTTTTTATTGTTGCCTAGCTATAATTTGTTCAGCTAATTATTTCAGACTATCATCGTCGAAATTGTTAAGTTAGTTAAGTTACACAGCCTATTTCCATCCCACTGCTGGGCCTTCCCTCACTTCTGAAAGGGTTTTAGGGCAAAGAAGTGTCCGCCGCGCTGCCCATATGTGTGTTGGCGAACTGCACATGCCTTAGAAAATTTTTTTTTATTTCTCAGACAGTCAGACTTCCTCATGATGTTTTCCTTTACCGCCGAGCAAGAGGTAAATCAGCACTTAAAATTGCAATTAATAATTTCATTGATGCTGGCGGGGATCGAACCCGGCGTGCTAGCGTACTGTGAAATTTAACGCGAGAGCTAACATTCTGAGCTACCAGGGCTCTCTCATCATCGAAATGAATACTAAAGTTAGTTAAGTTACAGCCTTTTTACGTCCCACAGCTGGGCAAAGGCATCTCCTTTTTTCCAGAGGGTTTTAGAGCAAGGAAGTTTCCGTCGCGCTGCCCCAATGCATGTTGGCGAACTTCACATGTCTTCGAAATATTTTTTTTCTTATTTCACAGACGTGCAGTTTTCTCACAATGTCTTTCTTCACCGCTGAGCATGTGGTAGATCAGCACTTAAAATTGCAATTAACAATTTCATTATTGCTTGCAGGGATCGAACCCGGCTTGCTAGCGTACTGTGAAATTTACAGCGAGAGCTAACCATCTGAACTACCACGGCTCTTCTGAGCCACCACAGCTCTCATCGTTGATATGAATACACCTCTTTATTTTGTATGTTTTTTTTCTATAGGATAGGGTGACAAACCAGCATGCAGTCCACCTGTGGTGGTTGCTGCGGCCCATAGACATCTACATCTATCCTCGATTACAAATCAAAATGCAGATGCGTGTCACCCGTGAGGACTAAGATGGAACGCCTCGTTTGCAGTAAAAAGGCTTTCCGGTTCTCTACACTCACCATACGAAACACAGAAGCATTAAGCTATTATTGTATGTATGTATTCGGTGAGATGTGTATCCTTCCCCGGTCGAGCCGGCCTATTCGTGCTACAACTATACTACTAATATAACTGCAGCATGGCTCTACCACATATAAAAAATGTTTTAATGAACTAGTACATGATGCACAAAAAAATGCATAATCGGACTTTAATTGTGGCATATTTTTGTATAATGCATAAGAAGTGGATTGTTTTAATAATATTCTTCTAAAAATAATATTTTTTTTATTTCAGGAAGAGATATATTTATTTTAAATTTTATTATTTCGTAGCTATTATTTGTGTTAAAGGAAATATGTTACC